GCGAGTCTAGCGCGGAGCCATCGGGTGGACCAAGCGGGTGTTGCGCGGCCCGGCAGCGGCTCCGCCTCGTAATCCTTCTCCGACCCGGACCCAGGGGCCGGCCCCACCTTTCCCTCAGTCAGGCCCCCAACCCAGCTCTCTCGATCCCCACCATCCCTCCAGGCCCAGTTCGCTTCAGAGGCGCGAGACCCGGAAAACAAGGAAGAAGAGAGCTCAGCCTCAATCCCGGTCCCCACCCCACTTTCGGGGCCGCTGCGCAGGAGAATTGAAGGGGGCGGACCCCGGATTAAAGCCACTGCCTTCCCAGCCTCGCGCCCCTTTCCTTTTGTCCGTGATGATTTCTTTATTGTCAGGCCAGGGCCAGGCTCCCAGCGCTGCCGGGACTGGGCGGTTGGGAGGGGGTTCTGGAGCCCACGCCTGGCGTCGGCGGGGGTCACCCCAGGGCCCTCGCAAATGCAGGGGGAACAGCTGGTTCCCGCCGGGGCGGGGAAGCGTGGACGGCGTGGGCTCAGGTGCCTGGCAGGCACGCGAGGTCTCTAAGGCTTGGCCACTGTCACGGGTCCTGTGGTTTTTGCTTCCTCCCTCGCCACGCCCTTCTCCTGGGACGGAGATTTATTCCCTGGCGTGTGTCGGGAACGTGGCACCCTTGCAGGGACGCCCCCCGGAGTCTGATGCGGGGACTTTTAAGATCAGACGCTTGGGGGCGGGGCTGGGAAAAACTGGCGGAAAATATTATAACTTTATTTTCAATGCCAGGCTGTTGTGGAAGCTCCTGGGACAAGCCGTGGAAGTCCCCGCAGGAGGCTTCCGCGATATCCTAGGCTGCTGCTCAGTCCGCCAAGCTCTTATCCATTGACTCACAAGCGCAGCCTGGAGGAGGAGGCCGAGCTGGACACGCCGGCCGCGCCTTTGCCCGGAGCAGCCTGGAGGTGTGGCGCGGCCGCGCTGGGAGCTGTGTATTGGAGGCTGGACCTGGGCACCCGAGGTTGGGCGGAGTGCAGGAGGTGGGTTCAGGGTTCTCCAGAGCATTCCCCTGAGCTGACCCGCAGGACTGCCTGGCCAGTAGGCACGGGGCCCGCGCGGTGACCTGCGGCCCTGAGGCTGGAGCAGCCGCTGCAAACGCCGCGCTGGCCCCAAACACTGAGTCCTTTAAATGTTTTAATTAAGAATAATTAATAGGGCCGGGCGTGGAGGCTTAAGCCTGAATCCCCAGCACCTGGCGAGGCCGAGGAGGGAGTATCCTTTGAGCCAAGAGGTTCAAGACTAGCCTGGGCAACACAGTCAGACTCCATCCCTACAAAACAAACAAACGAAAATAAAACAAACAGAAAACCAAATTAGCCGGGCGTGGTGGCGTGAGCCTGTGGAGGCTGAAGCAGGAAGATGGCTTGCGACCGCACCACTGCACACCAGCCTGGGCGACAGAGCAAGACCCTGTCTCGAAAAATGTCTATGTCCGGGTAAATGTATAGATTTTAAAACTATTTTGAAAGTGGCCTTTTTAATTTTCAACTGACCACTCTGGAGGAGACGCCTGACCCAGAGCGCTTTCCCTAAAGTTTGGTACCCAAAGTGCACCTTCACCTGGTTGGGGTGTCTGCCTTCTGCCAAGCCCTACCTCCTGCAGAGGTGGGCTCCATGGTGTCTCCCGCTCCGCCCCAACTGGAGAATAGTGTAAAGAATTGTCGGCCGGGCGCGGTGGCTCACGCCTGTAATCCCAGCACTTTGGGTGGCTGAGGCCGGTGGATCAGTTGAGGTCAGGAGGTTGACACCAACCTGGCCAACATGGTGAAACCCCATCTCTACTAAAACTACAAAAATTAGCCAGGTGTGGTGGTGGGCGCCTGTAATCCCAGCTACTCAGGAGGCTGAGGCAGGAGAATTGCTTGAATCCGGGAGGCGGAGGTTGTAGTGAGCCGAGATCGTGCCACCACAATCCAGCCTGGGCAACAAGAGTGAGACTCCATCTCAAAAAAAAAAAAAAAAAAAAAAAAAAAAAAAAAGAAGAAGAAAAAAGAAAAAGAAAAAAGAATTGTCAACCAGAAGGAGCGGCAATTCAGAAGCACGCTTAAGCCAAGTCCTCAAGACTAGAAAGCATGGAGCAGGGGAGGTGTTTTGAAAGGTAAGGACAAAAGACCCTGGGCACGGATGGCTGAATCCGGGAATTAGCATCGTAATTTGTTGAGAAGGAGGCCGTGCTGTGTTGCCAGTTATTAATGGGTTTAATTGGTTGATCCACAGCCCTACTAGTGGCCTAACCAGTAGCCCAGGGCCCGGGAGGATTTGCAGGTCGTGTCAGAATTTGATTGCAGTTCCTTCCACTTGGCATAAGGAGACACCATCAGCCTGATTGGGAGGGTCATGGTGAGATGGAGCCCGCTGAGGTGGCAGCGCTGAGCTGATCACGGCCACCAACCATAGAGTGGGAGCCTTTCCTGCCCCCTTAACCGCAGCTAACATCAAAAGCACTGGTATGAGCTGTCTATCTGCACTGGAACCTGAGTTGGTCTTTGTCTGTGATTACGATTCTGCTGCGTTTATTTTGCCAGTTCATTATCCAGCCCTCTGAAATCAGGCCTCCCAAATTTAGCAGATGCTGGGGAGGACCCAGGGAGTGGCTTGTGGGGGCTAGCTGGTGAAACTGCCCTTTCCTTTCTATTCTATGGGTGTGATGGTGTTTGAGAAATATGGGACTATGGTTTAGGTGCACTTCACATGTGCAAAGATGGAGAAAGCACTCACCTACACATTTAGGCTCAGAATATTGATTGAAACATTTTGAATGATCAAAAATAAAATTTTATTTTTAAAGTTTCTCTTTGAGATTTCGCTTAAGTTTTGGTAGATATTCTTAAATTTTAGTGACCTCAGTTTGGGAATTAAGTAAGCCAAATATTGTGTCCTTATTATTAGTTATATAGAACTGTGCCTTAGACTTTGTTAGAAACTTCTGCTTCACCTTGACTGACTCATTTTCCATTTCTGGTTGTACAAAATTAACTGACACTTTAATGCTGTGGCCACCTTTAAATAAAGTACGGTGTGACAAAAAAATACAAATGTTTTCAGAGATAAATGCATTCTTTGACATCTGAGGTTACAGCAAATCTATTCTTCTCCTGCTTGCTTGTTCAGAGTTGTAATATTTGCTTTGGTGTAGAGCTGAAGACATAAATTGGTAACCAGTGGAATTATATAGCTTCAGACTTTATTTATTTTCACCATTTGTTTCACTCATATGCAAATTTATTCTGTACCAGGAAATGTCAATTTAATTATATTCCACAGTACACGGTGAATCACGTATATTTAGTCAAGTTGTAAATACACTAGAACCATATAAGCTCACAAAAATATATCAGCACATGATGGGTAAGTGACTTTTTCCCTGAGAAAGCGTATCTGTTTAACCTGCATGATCTCACCGCTTAGTGTTTACTTCTTTAGTCTACATTTGTTTCTCAGTTTTGAGTACAATCGTGATATGAAGAGACAAGTGAAATCACCACAATTTTGTTTTCCAAAATGTGAGACTATGCAAATACTGAAATGAGATTGAATATCCAAAATATCAAACCACAATTATGGCTTTGCTTTACTTTTTGCCCGTTTAAGTGACATGTGGCCCAGAATAGTTGGTAGGTATTCCTACCACAACCTTGCTTAGAATAGTGGTTGGCTAAATATAAATTTTAGAGATGAAGTTTGTTCTATACCCGGATGTCAATGTGATTACTATGTCCACTTTACTTTCTTTAAAATACATATTTTTCTTACTTTTCACTTTCTTTTTCTTCTTGGTTGATTTATTTTGGCTCAGGGATTTTTTTCCTTATGATCTCAAGAAATTTTTCTCATGTAAAAAGACATAATCGTGCCAGGTGTGGTGGCTCATGCTTGTAACCCCAGCACTTTGGGAGGCTGAGGCGGGTGGATCACCTGAGGTCAGGTTTGAGACCAGCCCAGCCAAAATGTTGAAACATCGTATCTACTAAAAATAAAAAAAAATAGCTGGGTGTGGTGACAGGCGCCTGTAATCCCAGCTACTAGGGAGGCTGAGGCAGGAGAATCACTTGGACCCAGGAGGCAGAGCTTACAGTGAGCTGAGATCGTGCCATTGCACTCTAGCTGGGTGACAAGAGTGAAACTGTTTCCAAAAAACAAACAAACAAACAAACAAACAAAAAAAAAAGACAAAAAAGATCTGGAATACAGAGAGAAGCATAATGCTTTGCAGGTCATGGATGTAATCTTTCTTCTAGGAAAAATTTCTTTCAGATGTGACCAGAATTGGAAACATATTCCCTGCTGTCAGATAGCACTGGCTCAGGAGATGAATGAGGAGGAGCCTACAGGCTACCTCAAGGAAAAGAAGCAGCAAAAGGCAAGCACAGGGGTGGCATGCACTCAGACTAGGGCTGCTCCTTCCTGGGCAAGTTTCAGAAACTCACTGACAGTTAGAGCTTGAAGCTTCCATAGAGATGAATGCCCACGTTTTCCAGATGGGAGAACTGATGCTTAGAAAGGCTGAATGACTTGTCTAAGATTTTGGGGCCAGACAGGGATCTTATTTCAGTATTTCTTGCATGAAACCATTCTACTTTCCACGTTTCTAATTTATAACTTTTTAAAGGTCATTGTAAAAAGGAAATAACATAAACATCAAGTCTGGAGGCTAGTGGTGGGATTATTCACATTTATTTTTCCACTTGACTTGATATTTCAGGACAATAGTGATGCTTAAGTAATACCGAAATTATCCTGGGAATATAAAAAATAATATATCTGTTTACATTTTGGTGTGGGATGAGTAGAATCTTGTTTTCAAATTCCTTATTTGAAAGGCTATTAAGAAGAATAAACTCTCACTTAACAGTTTTCTAATTCCTTGGTGGTATCCTCTGTCCTTTGGTAATGTGAAAGTAGAGCACACTTTTCTATTTTTGTTCCTGCCGCACCCCTCATAAGGTGAAGCATGCATAGAGCACTCCTGGGTCAGCGTGAGCCCAGCACCAGCTCAGGCTGCCGATGCTCCAGAGTCGGATTCCACCTTCCACTTAAATGGCAGCCACAGGTAGACATGCCCATCACAACCACCTCTGTGCGTTCATAATCTCTGTTTATTCTGCAAGTGATTTCCACGTGGAAAATGGCACAGTGTTTCTCAGAAGACAACTGCATAAAAATCAACATACTTCAAATTCACAGCAAATAATCAGATAATTGATGAAACTACTTACCCAAACGATAATTGTAAATTATGCCTTCTGAATATATTTGTCATAAACTTGGAGTAAGGAACCCTCACAGACACAGAACAATTCAAAAAATGCAAAGCTGTTTGTTAAAATACTGGTGCTTTTGGGTAGAAACCCTCATCCATATCCTGGTAAGGGTTGAAGTTGCACAGGTGTTTTCATTTGTCAAAATCCAGAAAACCATAAGCTTTAGATTTGTGAATTATGTTGTATTATATGCGATCTTTCTTTTTAAAAATGAGCTGTCAGTGGTCTCCCAGACAGCAGATCAGCCTCCAGGAATCTCTTCCAGCATGACCAAAGACACCTTTTCACACAAGATGGTAGCAACAAATTATAGGTGCAATCACACCAAATTCACAGAAGATCAATTGAAAATCCTCATCAATACCTTCAATCAGAAACCTTACCCAGGTTATGCTACCAAACAAAAGCTTGCTTTAGAAATCAATACAGAAGAGTCCAGAATGCATGTTTAATGCTTCTAGGACTTTTCAGTGGGTTAGTCTAAAAGGTAAGTGTCTTTTAAAATTTTTAATAAAAATTTATCATTTGTAAGTAAACCTTTCTGTTAACAGTCTTGATTAGAGGATTTTAATTATGTTCAGAGATCATACATCTGTATCTTCTTCTACTTCATTTGAAAAGTACCAGTTTTCAATGTAACACCCATAATGAGGCAGAGTCTAGCTCTGTCGCCCAGGCTGGAGTGCAGTGACACGATCTCGGCTCACTGCAACCTCCAACTCCCAGGTTCAAGCAATTCCCTACCTCAGCCTCCAGAGTAGCTGGGATTACAGGCACATACCACCACACCTGGTTATTTTTTTGTATTTTTAGTAGAGATGGGGTTTCACCATCTTGGCCAGGCTGGTCTTGAACTCCTGACCTCGTGATCCACCCACCTTGGTCTCCCAAAGTGCTGGGATTACAGGCATGAGCCACCATGCCCAGCCTTTTCTTTCTTTCTTTCTTTCTTTTATTTGAGACGGAGTCTCGCTCTGTCGCCCAGAATTGAAGAGCTAGGCACAGATTCCAGAAAAGACCAGAACCTGACTTTAGATTCAAGCCAGAGCCATGGGCAAGATCAACCTGGTGTGGAGTTTCAACGTAGAGAAGCCAGACGGTGTCATACCATCTATAGCACCTCTCAATTACACACTCTTTTCAAGGCATTTATGAAAACCCATACCCTGGGATTGATTCCAGAGAACAACTTGCTGAAGAAATTGGTGCTTCAGAGTCAAGAGTCCAAATTTGGTTCCAAAATCGAAGATCTAGATTTCATCTCCACAGAAAAAGAGAACCTGTTGTGTCCTTAGAACAAGAAGCCCAGTGGCAAGATTTCTGAGGGACTTCAAGGTACAGAAGATACACAAAATGACAGCAACCTCACTAGCACTCTCATTTCTCTAGAGTCAGAGCATGGTGAACACGGTCAAGTTCAGTGTATTTGATATTATCAACTTAGTCCCCAACTCTCTCTCAGAGTCTTTCTGGGAATCCATCCTGCTGAAAGTGCAAGCTAAACTTTCTGAAGATGGTAAAGAACTTAGCTGGGTGTGGTGGCTCACCATTGTAATCTCAGCACTTTGGGAGGCTGAGGCAGGAAGATTGCTTGAGCCCAGGAGTTTGAAACCAGTCTGGGCAGCATAGTAAGACCCTGTCTCTATTATAAAAAACAAAATAAACATAAAGGACTGTAGGAGGTTGAGACAGGTACAGGAGGCACCACACTACGCTATTGACACAGCCTGGATCCAGAGTTCAGCAGAACTTGAGACAATGAAAACAAATTTAGTAATAATCATTTTTCAATCATCTCAGTACTTATTGATTTGGACAAAAATCAGTTAACGTCAAACACTTAAAGTGAAGCTGCTCTGCCTATGGAGTAGCCATTCTTTTATTCCTTTAGTTTCTTAATACATTTTCTTTCACTTAAAAAAAAACCTTATAGTTTGATGAAGAATGACATATATACCTCATCTCAAAGAATCTTCTCACACACACTTATTAATTACAAGAGGAAAATCAGTAATTTTGCAGCAGAGAAATATGGCCAACTCCACCTTAACCAAGTGGCTTAAAGTCACGGCACCAGTAATGGCACAAACCAATGTGAGATGCTTCCTGATAGGATACACTAAAAAGGGCACAGTCTCTTCTGCATGTTGCTGACAAAAAGTGGGTAAACTGAAACTGAAACCAATAATTAGACAATGTCAAGCAAACACAAATTCAGGTTGACAGTCTGCAAAGTAGCATCCACGTACTCTTCAGCAATGGATTGATCCTAGCTACTCAGGAATCAGAGGCAGGAGGATTGTTTGAGGCCAGGAATTCCAGATCAGCTTGGGCAACATGATGAGACCCCATCTCTACAAACATCTTTTTAAAAATGAGCCAGGCCGGGCGCGGTGGCTCACGCCTGCAATCCCAGCACTTTGGGAGGCAGAGGCGGGCGGATTACGAGGTCAGGAGATTGAGACCATCCTGGTTAACACAGTGAAACCCCGTCTCTACTAAAAATACAAGAAATTAACCAGGCATGGTGGCGGGGCGCCTGTAGTCCCAGCTACTAGGGAGGCTGAGGCAGGAGAATGGCGTGAACCCGGGAGGCGGAGCTTGTAGTGAGCCGAGATCGCGCCACTGCACTCCAGCCTGGGCGACAGAGCCAGACTCCGTCTCAAAAAAAAAAAAAAAAAAAAAAAAAGAGTCAGGTGTGGTAGCGTGCATCTGTAGTCTCAGCTACTCAGGAGCCTGAGGCAGGAGGATAGTTTGAAAACAGGAGATGGAGGCTGCAGTGAGCTATGATCGTGCTACTGCACTCCAGCGTGGGTGACACAGCGCTTTCCTGTTTCCAAACAACAACAACAAGAAAACAAAAAAATGGATAGAATAATGACAATAAAAATGGAGAAAAAGTAGGCTGACTCAGGAAATGCTTAGAAAGTGTAGCCATACCTCAAAGATATTGTGGATTTGGTTCCAGACCACCACAATAAAGTAAATATTGCTATAAAGTGAGTCACACAAATTGTTTTGTTTCTTTGTGAATTATAAAGTTATATTGACTGGGTGTTGTGGCTCATGCCTATAATCCTAGTACTTTAGGAGACGGAGGTGGGAGGATCACTTGAGGCGGAGGTTGCAGTGAGCCAAGATTGGGCGACTACCCTCCAGCCTGGGCTACAGAGTGAGACTCTGTCTCAAAAAAAAAAAAAAAAAAAAAAAAAAAGGCCGGGCACACTGGTTCACGCCTGTAATCCCAGCACCTTGGGAGACCAAGGCGGGTGGATCACGAGGTCAGGAGTTCAAGACCAGCCTGGCCAAGATGGTGAAACCCCATCTCTACTAAAAATACAAAAAATAGCCAGGTGTGGTGGCCTGTGCCTGTAATCCCAGCTACTCTGGAGGCTGAGGTAGGGAATTGCTTGAACCTGGGAGTTGGAGGTTGCAGTGAGCCGAGATCGTGTCACTGCACTCCAGCCTGGGCGACAGAGCTAGACTCTGCCTCATTATGGGTGTGACATTGAAAACTGGTACTTTTCAAATGAAATAGAAGAAGATACAGATGTATGATCTCTGAACATAATTAAAATCCTCTAATCAAGACTGTTAACAGAAAGGTTTACTTACAAATGATACATTTTCATTAAAAAATACACTTATCTTTTAGACTAATCTGCTGAAAAGTCCTAGAAGCATTAAACAAAACAGAAGCAGAAAGCACCTTGGTGCCATAACTTTGGGTTCTCCATATCATCACTCACTACAAGGAACCAAAGCTTCTTGGAGAAATGGCTGCTTTCTGACTGCAGGCAGGAAATGTGCAAAATCAGTCTAGATCATCTTGTCATACTGGAAAGCAAGGGCACTTTTATACCCCCCCGGGTCATGTCCATAGGCTCCAAGAGGCAACTTGAAGGAGGTCCCACTATCCAAACATGAACGAATATAAGCATCAGTAATAATGATGACCACAAGCCAGGCACGGTGGTTCACACCTGTAAGCCCAACACTTTGGGAAACTAAGGTAGATGGATTCCTGTAGCCCAGGTGTTCAAGACAAGCCTGGGCAACATGATAAAACCCTCTGTCTGCCAAAAATAGAAAACAAAAAAATTAGGCAGGCATTGTAGCATGTACCCGTAGTCCCAGCTACTTGAGAGGCTGACGTGGTAGAGTCACCTAAGCCCAGGAGTCTGAGGCTGCAGTGAGCTGTAATTATGCCACTGCACTCCAGCCTGGGCCATAAAGCAAGATCCATCTCAAAAAACCCCAAACAAACAAAAATAATGATGATCATGATGATGATGTTGATGATGATGGTGATGACTGCAATGAGCAGGTGCACACCTGATATGTTTAAATCGTCAGGCTTATAATGATATTATCGCATGCAGTCAATAGAATAAATACATCATCCAGATGTTCGAATTAGCATAAAAAGACTACAGTATTCCCCCTTTATCTGTGTGGCATACTTTGGAAGACCTCCAGTGGATCTCTTAAACCGTGGATAATACCGAACCCTACATTAGCACTTACCACACACTGTGGCTATAATTTTGCAGTTTGAGGTACAAAAGCAAAACTAGCAAGAATGTACTTTTCCTTTTCCACAATTTTACAGATAGAAGATTAATTCTTACCCTAGATGTTAGCAACCTCAACATATTATTTTCCTCATTAAGTGGGAAACTTTCTTCTTTTCAGTTACTGAAAGCATTTTCAGGTTTCTCTTTTGCATATCTGAATTGCCAGCATCACTACTCTTGCATTTTGGGACAATTACTAAGTAAAATAAGGGTTACTTGAACACGGGCACTGCAATACTAAGCTAGGTCCATCTGATAACTTAGATGGCTGCAAATGTCTAATGAGCAGGAAGCAGGAAGCATGGATCTGCCAAGCAAAGGGATATGTCACATCCTGAACCAGATATAGCAGAATGGTGGGAGGTTGCATCACATTCCTCAGAATAGCACATGACTTAAAACTTACAAACTGTTTACTTCTGGAGTTTTATATTTAATATTTTTGACTGTGGGTGACTGAAAGTGAGGAAAGTAAAGCCACAAATAAGGGGATACTATCATATTATAAATATAAATGTGCTCAAGGACTGAAATAATAATATTGAGTAAACACATGTGAAATCTTAGCAGAGATAAAAACTTAAATAAAAATTCTAGTACTTAAAAATACAATATCTTACAGAAAAATTTCATTAGACTGAGGAGAGGCAGGAGAATAATTCCCAAAATTAGTTTTTAAAAAATCAACCCATTTTTGGCCAGGCACAGTGGCTCACAGCTATAATCCCAGCACTTTGGGAGGCCAAGGCAGGCAGATCATGAGGCCAGGAGATTGAGACCATCCTGCCTAACACGATGAAACCCTGTCTCTACTAAAAATACAAAAAAGCCAAGCATGGTGGCGGGTGCCTGTAGTCCCAGCTACTCAGGAGGCCGAGGCAGGATAATGGCGTGAACCCAGGAGGTGGAGCTTGCAGTGAGCCGAGATCGCGCCACTGCACTCCAGCTTGGGCGACAGAGCGAGACTCTCTCTCTCTCAAAAAAAAAAAAAAAAGAAGAAGAAGAAAAAAAAATCAACCCATTTTTAATTTCTTCAAGTGCTTTCTAGGATTTTAGGAAACTAGATTACTACTTAGAAAACTGGTAAATAAAAGAGTAACTGATAAATTAAGAATCCTGTATTTATTCTACCTTTTCTCTACAAGCAATACCTCAGGGTAACCACACAGATAATGAAGAAAAACTATCTACAAAAGTTTTGTGTTTAATATATGAAAGAATAATAATAGAATTAAAATGGCTCCATTTCTTGACCTCTAATTTAATCAGTTTTGTAAGTTATCATCCCTGCTGCTCTTGGTTTGGTTTAGCCAGGAAAACAGCCAATTAAGTATTATAGAAATAAACAGCTTAATATAAGAATTAGTGCCTACATTCTTGTGCATCTAAGTAAAAAAATATGAAAGTTTGGCAGGTTGCCTCCAGAAAGTCAGAAACATAATCACAAATGGCATCAGCTGAAAACACTGTATAGGAGGGAAAGCAGCAGCTCGTGAAAGAGTCCAGGAAACTTCTGTATTCAGCAGGATTATGAAGTACACACTCATGCGAGGTCTATGATGGGGCTATATCTGGATGCTAGAATTGCTGAGAAGAACCTTGTTAAAAGCTCTGAAAGTCTCCATGCCTGGCTGCCAAAAATTGCTGACAGTGACTTCAGCTTTACTTTTATCTTTGGAATTGTGTGTGAATTTTCTCTATTTGCAAATTTTATGAGGATTCACTTAGGAAAGAGAGTTCTAGAATATAGAGTTCTTAGTTTTAGAAAAGTGTAGTGGTTGCTGCCAAGTTGACAAAAGAATTCAAAACAGCTTCTAATATCACAAAAAGAAAGACAACTAGAAATAATGTTTGGGTAGGAAAAACATAACATTGTCTATGAAATATTCTTGAAAAAAATCTAAACGGTTCCTTAAACTTTCATTGTTTTTTGTAAAAACACTTAGTTATAAGTGTCATGGAAGACATCCTAAAACTCTTCTGTTGTGGGAAGTCAGGGACCCCGAACGGAGGGACTGGCTGGAGCCATGGCAGAAGAACATAAATTGTGAAGATTTCATTTTAATATGGACATTTATCAGTTCCCAAATAATACTTTTATAATTTCTTATGCCTGGCTTTACTTTAATCTCTAAATCCCGTTATCTTCGTAAGCTGAGGATGTATGTCACCTCAGGACCACTGTGATAATTGTGTTAACTGTAAAAATTGATTGTAAAACATGTGTGTTTGAACAATATGAAATCAGTGCACCTTGAAAAAGAACAGAATAACAGTGATTTTTAGGGAACAAGGGAAGACAACCATAAGGTCTGAGTGCCTGCGGGGTCGGGCAAAAAGAGCCATATTTTTCTTTTTGCAGAGAGCCTACAAACAGCCGTGCAATTAGGGAAGATATCACTACATTCTCTTCCTAGCAAGGAATATTAATATTAATACCCTGGGAAAGGAATGCATTCCTGGTGGGAGGTCTATAAATGGTTGCTCTGGGAATGTCTGTCTCATGCGGTTGAGATAAGGATTGAGCTATGCCCTGGTCTCCTGCAGTACCCTCAGGCTTACTAGGGTGGTGAAAAACTCCACCCTGGTAAATTTGAGGTCGGACTGGTTCTCTGCTCTCGAACCCTGTTTTCTGTTGTTTAGGATGTTTATCAAGACAATACGTGCACCACTGAACATAGACCCTTATCAGTGGTTCTGCTTTTGCCTTTTGTCCTGTTCCCTCAAAAGCATGTGATCTCTGTTAGACCCTTAGTAGTAGTTCTTCTTTTTGCCCTTTGAAGCATGTGATCTTTGTACCTACTCCCTTTTCTTGAACTCCCTCCCCTTTTGAAACCCTTAATAAAAACTTGCTGGTCTGAGACTCAGGTAGGCATCATGGTCCTACCAATATGTGATATCACCCCCAGTGGCCCAGCTGTAAAATTCCTCTTTATACTGTCTCTCTTTATTTCTCAGTTGGCCAACACTTGTGGAAAATAGAAAGAACCTACATTGAAATATGGGGGGCAGGTTCCACCAATACAGATTCTCATATTCTGGTGATTAGGATGGGAGCATCTATGGGAGTGTCCATTTCACACAGAGTAAAAGTCCGAGTTCTGACAATGTCCTCCTATTTCCCATGTGAAGCAGACTCCACTTCCTGTATAAGCTCATTGGTTACAACTCTCTCCCCTTCACTCACTCAGTTCCAGCTACACTGGCCTTGCTTTTCCTCAATACAAGCCCACCCAGGACCTTTGCACTTACCATTCTCTCTGTCAGCAGATCTCCCTCCTTCCTTTAAGTCTCTGCATAAAGGCCACCACCCTATGAGTGAGGGTTTCTATGATTACCCCTTCCCCAGCTGGACACTCCCTTCCATGCTCAATTTTTTCCCAGAGCTCTTAATATCATATGTCTGTCATTCATATTCTCTCTTTCTCTCTTTCTTTCTTCTGTCCTCTCCCAGTAGAACATCATCAATAATGGGTGTTCTGTCTCTTGTCATAATCCTTAGCAAATACCAGGGGCTCAATAGTTGTTGAATAAGTGAATCTTACTTTACTGGAAGAGCAAGTTCCTTGGACTCAAAGATCTGCCCTAAAATAGGAACTTAATAAATAATAAATGAATGAATGAATGAATGAATGAATGGGTACATGAGAGACTCAACTTGCATCTCAGTTTTTATAGGTATATAGACTAATATGAAAGCAAGTGCTTTCTACTTAGAAATCAGACATAATGGTTTAAGTAGCTTATTCAAGGACATACAATAAAGGGAAAGTAATACAATCACATATTAAAACTCCAGCCAAGTCCCTGACTTTATTTTGCTGTGTCCCTGCATGTTCTCAGCATGACAAATCAGAACTTATCCAGATTTTCTTGCTTGGCTGAAATACCAGTACCAAAAATGTTACAAGTTAATAAACTCTGGATTTATTATGAAAGTAAATTTCACAGAAATCTCAAAAGCATTTATCTTGTATATTCAGATATGTAAAAAATATACAGGGAGAGTTCATCATCCACGCTTGAAAACACCCCCAGAAGCAAACCTGCAGCATAAGCTTCATGTGCATCATCAGTGCCTGACACTGCCCATCAGCCAGCCCACAGCAGCACCCAGATGGTCACCTCAGGTGTTGGGGACACAAAGAAACAAAAGACGTTCCTGTTGGGAGTCATGTTTGTTAAGGGGAAAGAGACAAGGGGACAATGCAACTGACTTGGAATGGGACAGCAATTTGCCTTCCAGAGGCCATCTCAGCTGCATTTTGCAAAGTGTTATGCTAGCCTTGCTCACACACCAGCCAAACCCATGCCAACTCACCATCCAGCAACATCTCTGCGCCTGCTGTTTCAGGAGGGTGTGCCAGCGTTGTGTTTTGTTCACACTTGAAAACTGCATTTCTAGGAATCCTTTTACCAGCATATGGTTGGGAAAGAGGACCTCACTGTGATCAGGAGGCTGGACCCAGAGGAGGGACTGCCAGGTTCAAATCTCACCTCTGTGACTCACTAGCTGTGTCCCCGACAGACATGTCACCAACCAACCCTCTCTACACTTCAATGTCCTCACCTCTAAAAAGTCTGCTTATAATTCTTATGATAATTGTAGGTGATATTGCAGGAAAAACACTTACAGTGCCTTGCAATTCCAGGCCTTAATACATACTACCTATTATTATAATAGCTGTTAATATATTAATATTATATATATTAATGTTGACTTTTTAAAAAAATCACCATTCAAAAATAAATAGTACATTTGTCTTCATCTTGAGTTTAGCTCGTGGCAGTGACTTCTAAAGGTTTATCATTTACTTACAACTAAGTGTTTGCCGATAATCAGGAAAAACTGCTATCAGGCAAATGTTAAGATTAAGCTTTTCTACATTTGGCTGGCAAAAATCAAGTCATTTAAAGCCTTCCCCCTCAATTCTACACCTGAATAAAAATATACATGATTTGTTAATGGAAAGTTTAACAGAAATGTTGAACAAAGATGACCTCATATAGTATTTAAGTAAGATAAGCAAAACGAGTAAGATTTTAAAATATATACATAGGCATGTGTAGGTTCAACTAGACATTTTTGTGGCAAATTACTGTATGATAAAACAATTGTTTAATTTAATATCCTACATTGCCTCACTGCTTAAAAAATGAAATAAGATCAAATGACATCAAAATATACATTTATTTTTCTGTTTCTATTAACCACGCTAACCAAGGACACATGTCAGAGGCATTAAATGAGCTTTACATCAAGTTACACAAGAATTCACCTCACTCATGGAGATCCTAATTTAGTAGGCTGGGGAAGAAGCAAGTAACATCTGTGGTTATTAACCACTGTGCAAGATCTCTCTCTTTTTCTTTTCCCTTTCGACAGGGTCTTGTTCTGTCACCCAGGCACAATCACAGCTCACTGCAGCTTGGACCTCCCAGGCTTAGGTGATCCTCTCACCTCAGCCTCCTGAGTAGCTGGGACTACAGGCATGCACCACAATGCCCAGCTAATTTTTTGTACTTTTGTAGAGACAGGGTTTCACCACATTGCCCAGGCTCGTCTCAAACTCCTGGGCTCAAGCGATCCACCCGCTTGGGCCTCTCAAAGTGCTGAAATTACAAGTGTGAGAAACCGCGTCCAGCCCAAGATCTCTCCTTTGAAAAGAAGTTTTTTTGCCTTGAAATTGTGTGCAAAAAACGTTTCTTGATTCTGTAACCCTGCTCCCAAAACAAAACTTGACTGTTTGCAACTCAATAAAGAGAAATGTTGAGTTGCTTCTCAGCCCTTAAAAATCATGAAATAACCCTCTGGTCTTTTAACACTAACAAGAGAGTTAAGGGAAATGGGAAGGGAGGAGGCAGGACTTTCCATCTGTTCCGGGAAATCATGTGACTGCCTTCCCTTTATACTGATAAGGCTGCCAACAGAACTCTTAGTGCTGATGGGTGTGCTCTGTGTCTCACTCTTCCTATGCATAACCATTAGCCACATCAGTCTGCTCATAACCTTCCTAACTTCCTGCCATCCAAGGTCCTTGCTTCTTTCATTCATTCAGTCAATGTTTTCTGAGCATGTACTGCACCCCAGGGAACAAATGCAAAAATGCCCCTGCCCTCCTGGTGCTTGCATTCTAATTTCTAAAAAATGGCCTCCTGAAACTGCCAGACTTGTTTAAAGAACTGCTTCCTCAATGTGTTTCTTAAAAATGATGGTATTTTGGAGGCAGAAAAGCAAATAATCGCAGTTTGAGAAAACAATGTGGTTCAAAGGATTAAAGAAATTAGAGGCTATAGAGGGTCTGCACGAGAAAAGATATGGGAACTCGTGAACCTTTTGGAGTGGAATGAAGCAGTAACAGAATGACTGGCTTGGAGGTTATTTCTGACGGGGTATATAAACCCACTCTGGAAACAGGAATGGCCTGGCAGAGGATTAGGATTCAGTGGCCAGAAGTAGGACCTGTTCCCAGCAAGAACAAATTTAACAATTACTACTAGAAATGGGATCAGGAGAGAGGCAAATTCACGACCAGCAGAGGTATCAACATCTTCAAGTAGCCGTAACAACTACTTTAATTTTTTGGTAAAAGTTTTTCCAGGTCAATAAAAAATTAAGGGGTTAAAAAGTAAGAGTGATACTTAGATAAAGTTATCAATAGCAACCAAGACCCAGAAAGCTTACCCAGCTAGTCAATGAGGAACCACGGATAAGGCTCTTACTACTAACCCCATGCTTTTTCCACTACATCATGCGGGGAGTTGAGCAGGGTCATCTTTCATCAGCAGTATCTAAGACATGGGACACTACAGCTGCAGAACACAGCATAGGAGAAGGTCAAACTTATAACAGCTGAACTCTGGTCAATGACACATGGTTCTCAAATGATCAGAACTGGGTGTCTAGGTGGGGAGTAGTTGCCAAGAAGAGGAGAGAGGTTGTTCAGAATTGCTACATTAGGATAATTGTTATTCATGAAACCCAGAACTAAGTTCATTCATCAGCAACCTTACCTAGCTCTGGGGGCAGAATGGCGAGGCAGTTCCCCTGAATGTGGACCTCTTTAAGCTGGGTAAGCTCCCCGATTTCCTTAGGCAGTGAGATCAGGTTGTTATCCCTATTGTTGAGCTAAACAGAAGAAAACAAGGAGTTGTCAACACATTTTCACTTTAAAACGTGCTCCACAGAAACTCTCATCCTCCTCCATGTCCTCTCTTCTACTAAAACTCAGTCTTTTCCATTTGTTTACAAGTGCCGGTAGATAATCAAGAAACACTATCAGGAGTAGTGGTTTATTCCTGCAAAACAAACCTTACTCCTGCTCAAATTGACTTGATTCTACCCCTAAAAGGCTGCAGCAGTGAATTGATTTTCTAAGAATTTAGATAACTTACTGTCTGCATCTTTGTGAGCTTCCCAATATCTGGTGGCAGGATTTCAAAATTGTTGTCACTCAGATAGAGTGCACACAGGGTGGCTGCAAATTAAACAGCAATATATAAACAGGGTGGCAGGGAACCTAACCATTTGAGGTCTGATCAATACAAGGGAGTCAGCTTTGATTAATAATGCTGGCTTGGTGAAAAGCCTTTGACATACCTGGGGCTCCCAATGATAGCAAGCAGGTCAAACCAAGATTTACTGGCTTATCGTGCATCCAGTGTGTCCAGGAAAACATCTATATCCAAGAGGACTGATGCAATTAACAATGTGGGCACTAGCATTTTGGGGCACAGAGTTTTAACGCATTTTGAAAACAGATTGCTATTTTTCTCATCGATTACTTTTGATTCACATTTATATCTCCATTTGCATCCAAAGTAAAACAAAGAAAACTACTGTGCCACTTTTATGGTTACCTAGGGCAAAAAGGTTCTTTCAAGTGAATACAACTATGTTAAAATAGACCTTTTCCTATGTAAATAGCACTGTGTTAAAAATTAATGAAAGGCTTTCTGGTGACGGAGGCTATAACCATAGCTCATCAGTTCCATAATCTGACTAATTATTACTGCTTGTTTCTACAGCCTTAAGGACAAAAGTAAATGAAGACAAAGGGGCTAAAATAATGGCATGAAGTTAACAGAGTAAATCCTAACTTAAGCAGAATATCAGTAGTCAGAAATTTGTTCACAATTATTACACAATGATAATATGATTCCAAACTACTGAAGGCTAAAATTCTAAAGCATCTGTTTATCCTCAACCAAAAAAACTCATTATAATTAGGTGTATGTTTTGTTTATCAGTGTTTATTTATTTCTTATAGATAAGAATCTTGCTCTGTCACCTAGACTGGAGTGCAGTGGGTCACTGCAGCCTCAAATTCCTGGCCTCAAGCCATCTTCCTACCTTGGCCTCCCAATTACCTAAGATTACAGGCACATGCTACTAATTTAATTTACATGGTTAATTTTTAAATTTTTATTTCTAGAGACAGGGTCTCTCTATGTTGCCTAGGCTGGTCCTACACTCCCAGCCTCAAGTGATCTTTGGAGCTCAGACTCCAGAACTGTACGTTAATATAACATAATAAAAACAGGTGCTCCACCACCCAAGAAAATATTTTACAGTTGGTTTCATGTGCTTGAGAAAGTCATAGAGAGAGAATGTACATAAGGTAAAAAGTGAAAGTTTAGAGACCAGCTCAGAAAATTCAGATTTTCTGAATGCCATATAAGTTACTAATTGAAGAAATAGAACACTCATTTAAAAGAAGCAAACCTTGTCTGAAATAGTGCATGAGTTCCCAGAAGAAATCACTTTTTTAATTTTCAAAAGCATCTTCAGCAAGAAATTTGTTGGCATATAAAAGAATAAAATGTGGCCAGTAATTTCTTAATGCCTGTGTACTGGATAAATAGGTCAATAAGAGTACTTTTTAAAAGGCTGAAGATAAGAATCCCAGCTGGAAATTTAAAAAATTTGGTTAGTGATTTATTAATAAATATTTTTATAAATAATTGATTGTGACATCCTGGGCAAATATCGCACAAAGAATTAATACCAACATGGGAGGGTACCTTTTTTTGGCATGCTATTTAAAAAGAAAGTCAAGTCTCTTAGCTAAATGTGAGGCTTGATCTCATTTCGGTACATAATCTCTCTCAGAATGTTAATATGACATTACTAAGTCCACTTCAGCCCAATGGTGTCACATAATGATATATCAAATGTACATACTGCTGAGCTACAAAGGAATATTCAAAAGGAGTCTCTAAAGTAAAAAATATCTCTGTCCAGTAATTTCTCTTGGAGTTTATTTAGGTCCTGGCAAATACATTTCACTCTTAGAACGCAAAGTATAGTGTTCAGGAGATTTATAGAACTGAAAGTTTCTTACTCAGGTAGAAGAAGTTTCCAGGAAGACAATTTTCGTTCAAGTTGTTGTAAGTCAAGTCCAGAACCTCAAGAGCTGGCAGGGAGCTGAAGCCTCGTGGCAAAGTGTTCAGCCTGTTCATGCTGTTGCAGGGGGACAAAAATCTGTTAGGACACCAAAGACACATTTATACAGATTATCAAAGGCACCTCTGTTTCACAGGCTGAAAGTGTAAGACAGTGCCATGATCCTAGAGTCACTTTATACTGTATTTTTATTTTTTATTTTTTTGAGATAGGGCCTTGCTCTGTTGCCCAGGCTGGAGTGCAGTGGCACGATCTCGGCTCACTGCACCCTTGACCTCCCCAGGCTCCTTTCACTTCAGCTTCCCAAGTAGCTGGGACCATAGGCACACACCATCACACCCCACTAATGTTGATATTTTTTGCAGAGATGGGTTTTTGCCAGGTTGCCCAGGCTGGTCTCAAACTCCTGAGCTCGAGCCATTCTCCCACCTCGGCCTCCCAGAATGCTGGGAGTATAGGCATGAGCCACCAAGTCCATCCTATTTTTTTTTTAATTAAAAAAAGAATTTATTTAAAATTTACATTGACAAGTGAAGATTGTACATACCTATGGTGTACAACATGATACTTCTGATATATGTATAATCCATTGTGGAATGGCTTAAATCACACTATTTAATATACACATTGCCTTGTATCATATGCTTGTCATTTTTTTTGTCTTTTGTGGTGAGAATACTTAAAATTCACTCTCTTAGCAATTTTCAAGTATACCACATATTGTTATTGACTGCAGTCACCATGACGTACAATCCATCTCTTGAATGTACTTCTCCTGTCTAACTAAAATTTCGTGTCCTTTGGTTAACATTTCTGCAATTCCCCTCTCCCTCCAGCCTCTGGTAACTATTTTATTCCCTGTTTCAATGAGGTTTACTTTTTTACATTCCACATATAAATGAGAGGATGTGGTATGTTGTCCTATTTAGACTAATAATTTTAGTCAGAGAGCTTATATATTCCTGAAACATTTGAAAATTTCTTGGTTGTCATTTTTCTCCAATGGTGAAATTTAATCACTGTTTTACAGAAAAACTCAAACCATCACAAAATATCTGTCCTTGTAAAGAAAAATTTCCTTATGAATGTAGTGATAATATCTCAAACTATACACATTGAAGCTTTGTAGTTTTCAGACTTTTGCTTTATTTCATTTCCTTTATTCCTTTTAGAAGGGATAATCATTTTTTTTTTTTTCCTACAACTGCTAACACTCAAAGTTATCTTCAATTAGAATGGTGATGGCCAGGGGCTGGAGGGAGGGGCAATGGAGAGATGTTTTTTAATGGATGTAGGATTCAGGTTTGCAAGATGAGAACATTCTGGAGATTGGCTGAACAACAATGTGAATACGCTTAACACCATTGAACTGTATACTACAAAGACAGTACTTTTTTTTGTTTGTTTTTTATTTTTTGAGATGGAGTCTCACTCTGTTGCCCAGGCTGGAGTGCAGTGGTGAGATCTCAACTCACTGCAACCTCTGCCTCCCCAGTTCAAGCGATTCTCCCACCTCAGCCTCCTGAATAGCTGGGACTACAGGCGCGTGCCACCAAGCCCAGCTAATTTTTGCATTTTTTAGTAGTGAAGGGTTTCACCATGTTGGCCAGGATGGTCTTGATCTCTTGACCTCGTGATCTACCTGCCTTGGCCTCCCAAAGTACTGGGATTACAGGCGTGAGCCACTGCATCCGGCCAGACAGTATATTTTATGTGTATTTTATCATAACTTAAACATTTTTTAAATCATACAATTGACCCTTGAGCAGCATGGGTTTGAACTGCCTGGGTCTAATGACACATGGATATTTTTCTTCTGCCTCTGCTACCCCTGAGACAGCAAGACCAACCCTCCTCTTCCTTCTCAGCCCACTCAACATGAAGAAGAGGATGAAGACCTTTAAGATGATCCACTTCCACTTAAAGAACAGTAAATGCACTTTGTTTTCCTTATGGCTTTCCTAATAACATTTTCTTTTCTCTAGCTTACTTTATTGTAAGAATGCAGAATAGAGGCGGCTGGGCGTGGTGGCTCACACCTGTAATCCCAGCACTTTGGGAGGCCAAGGAGGATGGATCCCAAGGTCAGGAGATCGAGACCATCCTGGCTAACACGGTGAAACCCCGTCTCTACTAAAAATATAAAAAATTAGCTGGGTGTGGTGTCGGGCACCTGTAGTCCTGGCTACTCGGGAGGCTGAGGCAGGAGAATGGTGTGAACCCGGGAGGCAGAGCTTGCAGTGAGCTGAGATCGTGCCACTGTAGTCCAGCCTCGGCAACAGAGCGAGACGTGGTCTCAAAAAAAAAAAAAATGCAGAATAGAATAATAGAATACATATAACACGCAAAATATGTGTTAATTGACATTTATGTTTTGGTAAGGCTTCCTGTCAACTGTAGGCTATTAGTAATTAAGTTTGTTCAGGATCAAAAGTTATGCGTGGATTTTTGACTGCATGGGGGGTCAGTGTGTTGCTTCCTCAAGCCACGTGTTGTTCAAGGGTCAATTGTGTGTGGGTGTGTGTGGGGGTGTGTGTAGTGTGTGTGGGTGTATGTGGTGTTGTGTGTAGTGTTATGTGTGTGTGTACGGGGGTGTTATGTGTGGTGTGTGGAGGGTGTGCTGTGTGTGTGGTGTGTGCAGGGGATGTGGTGTGTGTGTGGTGTGTGTGGGTGGGTGTGGGGTGTGTGTGCGGTGTGGTGTGTGTGTGTGGTGTGGTGTGTGTGTGGAGGGTGTGGTGGTGTGTGTGGTATGTGTGTGGTGTGTGTGTGTGGGGTATGGATGTGGTATGGTGTGGTATGTGTATGGGGTGTGTGTAGGGGTGTAGTGGTATGTGTGTTTATGCAGTATGTGTGTGTGGTGTGTGTGAGGGTGTGTGTACGTGTTTGTGTCTGCATGTTTCCAGTGAAATCTAAGGAAATTTTTTTCTTTTTTAAAATCATACTTTAAGTCGTAGGGTACATGTGCACAACATGCAGGTTTGTTACCTAGGTATATATGTGCCATGTTGGTTGGCGGCACCCATCAACTCATCATTTACATTAGGTATTTCTCCTAATGCTATCCCTCCCCTATCCCCCCACTCCCCAACAGGCCCCAGTGTGTGACGTTAAGGGATTTTTTTTCTACACTATCTTTTATCCTTTTCTTTAAGCCCCTTATTTTTCTCAATGCAGTTCCCTTTGAGCATGCTTAAAAGCCAATTAGAAAAAAAAACTTTAATAAAAGTTGACAGGTATTGAAAGGTGGAAGGGACTGTGACAATAAAAATCATTCCAGTCATCGATGCTTCTCATAACAGATCAAGCTCAGTCCCGTCCTACCAAGCGGGCCTCACCAGAAACAGCTGACAGCAGAGGGGGAAACCAAAATGGAAACGTGGGTTCCCCATCTCAGTAAGAAAATGTCCCAGACAGACTACACCCAGCAAAACTAGCTTCACGACTATCTACTGCCATGACAGCAACAATGAACATTCTCCATGAAGTCACAATTTGTGAAGCACATTATGGCAAGTACTTCGCTTGTTCACTAAAACTACCTTGTAATACAGGCAAGATGGAGCTTGTAATTAATGCCATCTTGAGATGAAAAAACAGCCTGAGAGAGAGTAAGGAGCAAAGACTTCAGAAGTGGGTGACATGTGTCTGGAAGCACCCTGTACCTCACGGAGGCCAAAGCCACTCCAGACCCGTGGGCTCCTATGCAAGGATTCTGAGAAGAAGTGCAAGTCAGAGACAGCAAGGGAGGTAGGGAAGCATACACTAGGTGCTTCTGTCTTTAAACACTGCTTTAAGTTATCCGTTTTTGAAAACTGCTGATTCCTTAACATTTTTCTCTGCAAATAAAGAAATACACTTTTGCAATATTAGGTACAGGAAACCACAGTTAAACAGGCTTAGAGGGAAGAGGCATCTCACTTGAGAGAGAGCTCCCATTCAATCTCCAGCCCAGAGCAAGCCTGGAGCCCCTCCACCTCTTGGTGGCAAGAATCTACTTAACCAAAGGTTCCTTTCTCCTTTGAGTGACAAAACAATACCTACAACGTGTAAGGAACACAGCAGAGTCCCACGTGCAGCTGACAGCAGTATGTAACAGTAGTAGGCACGCCACCCTGGGGGGCAGAAAGGAAGTCCTTAAACAAATGCTGAAACTTCAGAAGAGCTGCTAGCAACAGCCCCAGCTACAAAGCGGGCAAGGAACTGCAGAGACTTCTGGCCACCTCTTCGGAGGCCAGACCATGTGCACGGTGACCTGGTGGCATCTTTCTGCAGAATGAAGGCTGGAACACACTGGCTGTCCCCCTTTCCCCAGCAGGTGCTAACATCCATCTCCATCCACCCACATTTCCACATGTGGGAATTCCACGTTCAGGGCCCCACTCTGACACTGCTAGCAATCAAGGTTTCCATGAGAGGTTACAGGGGGAGTAGGAACAGAATGGAGCTTTAAGGTAGGAGACAGCTAGGTGAGGAGTCTGGCTCCAGCACTTGCCAGCTGCGTGACCTTGACCAAGTTACTCAGCTTCTCTGAGACCGATTTTCCTCAACTATAAAACAAGGCTGATAACATCTTCAGGGCAGGATCACTGGGAGGAAGAGAGAGAAAATATGTGAAGCACCCAACACCCGATCCATGGCTCACACGCGGCTTCTCAGGAAAGGAGAGCTGCTGCTAGAATTATTTTTCAAAAGGTTTGAGAGAAAATTTTGAATCAGCCCTAAACAAGCAAGCTCACCTCATGACAAGTCACTTTGGATGGTCCAAATATCAAGTGTGGTTTTACTATTTGTGCCACGCTTGCTTAATCTCAGGTGACTTCAGGTGTTGAAACACAAAGCTTCGCAGGGCTCAGCTATGTCAAGTGGTATCAATTCTTTGTTTGCCTGGGAAGATTTTTCAAATGCGTGTTGGAAGTGGGCAAATGTCTGCATATGATGGAGAAATTTATAAAACCAGGGTGTCTAAGGCTATTCAGCATCTTTTTTCCTTTTCTTTTAAAGCCTCAGAAAGGTCTGTACAAATGATTCCTTTTCAGAGCAGTTTCTTCTCTGCAGGTTGTCCTGAGCACCTCCAGCTTCAATAAAACCTTCTTGGCTAAAGGCACTAATTTTTCTCGCCTCCCCAGTGACCTACTCACACACTTATCAAAAGTAAAAATTAAAAACATTCCAGCCCGAGCCAGGTGGCTCATGTCTGTAATCCCAGCACTTTGGGAGTTCAACAAAGGCAGATTGCTTGAGCTCAGCAGCTCGAGACCAGCCTGGGCAACATGGCAAAACCCCGTCTCTCCAAAAAACTACAAAAATTAGCCAGCCATGGTGGCGCCTACCTGTGGTCCCAGCTACTCAGGAAGCTGAAGTGGGAGGATCACTTGAGCCCAGGAGGCGTAGGTTGCAGTGAGCGGAGATCACACCACTGCACTCCAGCCTGGGAGATAGAGCGAGACCCTGTCTCAATAAATAAATAAATAATCCAAATCCGTAAATACCGAACATTGTACGTAACAAAAACTTCCATACGTTCATGAGGCAAGCTCTAGCAACAAACGAGGTCAAATGTTATTCCCGAATAGTTGGGCACAGTGGTCCTGCTGTGAAGTTATCCTAGAAGTAATCATCAACATGGGAACCTATGTGGCTTCACATTTTTTGGAAAATAACTCTATGAAATAAATTGCGTTTAAGGAATTAAGAACAGAACTAAACTTTCTTTTATTTATTCAGGTGGCCTAAAATTCTCTCATGTCTTATGACCAACAGAATGAACTGTAAATACTATATAAAACTTTGAAAGCAAATTCTTATTGAGGGTGCCTTTTGGATCACGCATACAAGTGGCTTCCCTGCTCCGTTTTGTGATCTCCTGTGTGTATGCTTTCTTTCACCCTGGCTCCTTAGAATAAGGAGTCCTCACTATAACTTGCCTTACTGTGTGAACATAATTCTTTATGCCGTTTGAGGACAGAGGTATCCTTTAGTGAAACCCATCTTAGCTCCTTTCCCAAAGAACTGGGAGGTTTATTTTCAAACTTTGACAACTCCTTCTATGTAGCTATGTAATTAAATGCAAAAAGCTTTACACAATAAACAAAGCACCAACAGTCCAAAATGCAAACAACTCCAAAGAGAACAAGAAGGCAACTAAGATGCATTCATTGAAAAAGAAAAGGTTAGGGCTGGGCACAGTGGCTCATGCCTGTAATCCCAGCACTTTGGGAGGCTGAAGCAGGTGGATCCCCTGAGGTCAGGAGTTCGAGATCAGCCTGACCAACATGGTAAAAGAGCGTCTCTACTAAAAATACAAAAGTAATTGGGTGTACTGGTGCGTGCCTGTAATCCCAGCTACTCGGGAGGCTGAGGCAAGAGAATCACTTGAACCTGGGAGGTGGAGGTTGCAGTGAGCTGAGATTGTGCCATTGCACTGGAGCCTGGGCAACAAGAGCAAAACTCTGTCTCAAAAAAAAAAAAAAAAAAAGGAAAAGAAAAAGAAAAGTTTACGTCTCTGTCCTATGGTGCCTCAAACCAAACAGAACAAAACCTGAGCTTATTATTTTAATTTCTTCCCAAACCTGTCTCCATCTGTTCTCTTTTTCAGCTGTCCAACACAGAAACGTAGGTATCATTCCATCCCATCAGTTACTGCCTGTCAATGTTACCACCTGTGTAGTTTTCATATAAAATCCCTCCCTGCCTCCACTGTCACTGTCCTAGTTCACATGGGACATGAAGCTCATGTTCTTACTGGTCTCCTAACCTCTAGTTTCCCTCTCTCCACCCTCTTCTCCACACTGATTTTTCATAAGAAAATCTGAGCATGTCTCATATCCACTACTTGGCTATGCAAATTTCCCAATGGTCAGCAAGATAAAATTGGAGCTCCTTTATTTATTTATTTATTTATTTAATTTTGAGATGTAGTATCACTCTGTCACATAGGCTGGAGTGCACTGGTACAATCTCAGTTCACTGAAATATCTGCCTCCTGGGTTCAAATATCTCTCCTGCCTCAACCTCCTGGATAGAATAGCTGGGATCATAGGTGCACGCCACCACACTTAGCTAATTTGTGTACTTTTAGTAGAGACGAGGTTTCACCATCTTGACGAGGCTGTTCTTGAACTCCTGGTGTCCGCTGACCCGCCAGCCTCAGCCTCCCAAAGCGCTGAGACTACAGGCATGAGCCACTACGCCTGGGAGGAGCTTTTTATTTAGCACAGAGGCCTTTCATTAGCACTTTTGACTCCCTGTCATTATTATAAACATTTATTTGTTTATAGTTGGTTTCCTCAACTGTAATGGAAGCTCCATCAGGGCTGAATGGCCAGTAGCTAGAACAATGCTTGGTACACGATTGGGAACTTGGTAAATCCTCACTCACAGAACAGCAGATATCCAGGATTCCCTGTCTAGCCTGACCTCTGACCTTACAGCAGCCTGCCTCACACTTTATACTCTACAGTGCCAAAATAAACTGACAATTCCCAGGCCCCAGGCAGGCAGTGCTGCGAGCGTTCAAATAAGTCATTCACGACTGGGCGTGGTGACTCACGCCTATAATCCCAGCACTTTGGGAGGCCAAGGAGGGTGGATCACGAGGTCAAGAGATCGATCGAGACCATCCTGGCCAACATGGTAAAACCCCGTCTATACTAAAAATACAAAAGTTAGCTGGGCATGGCGGTGTGAGCCTGTAGTCCTAGCTACCCGGGAGGCTGAGATAGGACAATCGCTTGAATCTGGGAGGCAGAGGTTACAGTGAGCTGAGATCACCTCACTGCACTCCAGCCTGGTGACAAAGCAAGACTCCGCCTCAAAAATAAAAATTTAAAAAAATTGGCAAATATCTGGCCAGCATCTATTGCCACTCCACGTCAATCACTAACTTAACCAGAGCATTTAGTGGCTACAATTTCATGAATATACAACTTTGCACAGAGACTGAAGCATGAGTGGGCAGTTTCATCTACTAGCTGTGCCAGTGAAGATGGAATTCTGAGGCCGCAGTTCCAGTTGGGGTCTGTTTTCCCATTACTATAAAGGAATGCTGAGGCTGGGTAATTTACAAGAAAAGAGGTTTAACTAACTCATTGTTCTATTGGCTATATTTGAAGCATGGCAGCTGCTGCTTGTGGGGAAGCCTCAGGGAGCTTTTACTCATGGTGGAAGGCAATACAGGAGCATATGTATTACATGGCAGGAGAAGGACAGCACGAGGGGTCTTGCAATAACTCACTCACTATCATAAGGACACTATCAAGAGGGGATGGTGCTAAACCATTCATGAGAGCTCCGCCCCCATGATCTAATCACCTCCCACCAGGCCCCACCTCCAACACTGGAGATTACAATTCCACATGAGATTTGGTGGGGACACAGATCTAAACCGTATCAATGGAGTCTTGATGGAGCCTTTAGACCCAGAACCATGGGGTTCTCTTCCCAGCTTGGCCACTAACCTCAGGGGTGACCAGAACCCAGTCCCTTAGCCCCTTTGAAAAGGCTTGGCTTCCTCTGTATAATATGAAAGCACTAAAATCTGCCCTCCCTACCTCACAAATGTTGAGAGCATCAAGTGCTGCAAAGCAATACATGCAGACAGGTTATCATTATTATTATTTACTGCTCCCCGGTTCTGCAACCTCAATTGAATCAAAACTCCTCTCTTCACCTTTGCATAAAGAAAGACAGAGAATTGTCACCTCTCAATTACAGAGAAGAATTGCGAAAATGAATGAAGCAGCATTAGGGAATATATTCTTCCCTCCATGGCATGAAGGTACTTTATAAACTATTCCTATTTAACACAGAGAGAAAAAAAATCAACTATATTACAACTTGTCTGCCAGTTCATGCTAGGCAAGTAAGTCCCTTCTTGGTCAACAGAACTGAGATAAAATTTTACTGGACACAAAATACAGTAAAACTTTAACTTCCTTATTGTGCCAACTATTAGCTTCTCAATTAGCTCTCAAATATTCACTAATGTAGGCCACCAAAAAGATTATATTAAAACAATAAAACTTTTTTTTAAAACACAAAACACAAAAAGAAATTAGAAATCCACTTCTGTGCATGATATAAATGGAATCCCTCCCCTGGCCCTACCCAGCACGCCTCTTTCACTCTCTTCCTCTGCATCCTTTACCCTCCACTGATACTCACCCAAGATTCAGGTGTTTGAGCACTTCCAGATTCTTCAGTTCTGCTATGTTTGGTGGCACCGCCATGGAAACATAAATGCTGAGTGTGAATCTGGGAACGGAACTCTTAGCAAGGGATGGCAGCAGCACATTTTGTTTTTCTTCAAAGCAAAGAAAGATATAACTCCAAAAGGACCATTGAATTCACCTATCGGTCTTACTTATTTTTTACGGGTTTTTCATAAGCAGTTGCTCACTTCTGAGTGGCCGTTGAAATGCTTCTTCATATATCATTAGCTAAGTGCTTGGCATAGTTTGTTTCAGAAGGACAATGAAGAGGGAAACAGAGCAAAAATGCACAAAAGAGAATTTGTGTACCATAGCAGCCTATAAAATTGAATATTACGAGCATACATACTTATAGTTGTCGCATAGGACCTTTTAAGTGCAATTGTTTTTTTCCTTTCAGTTTTCTTGCATTGCCACCAGAAGAAAGACAGCAACCTCCAAATCCCTTCCGGGGTGATGTACATTGAAACTGTTTAAATAACCCAGTATCTGAAGAGCTGTTCTCTTAACATTGCATTAATAACAATATAAACTCAATTTTAAATAATGAAATATTCGACCTCCCTAGTTTCTGATTTTGCCCTCTGGAGTAATGTATCTTGATCAATACCACACACACATACAGACACACACACATACATACACATACACACACACACACACAAAGGTTACATCAGATTAGCAACAGATCGATATACTGTTATTATATAGAAATAAAAACATCAACTCAGTAACATGCTATGAACACTAGTACCCAGATCAAAGGTGAAAATCAACCTTTCAGGTCCCTCCTTCCCTAGCATATATATACTTGAAAATACAAATGTAAAAGCCAAAGGCATCTTTATCTCAAAAGCACAACCTACAAATTGGCAGCAGAAGGACTTTCCATAGGCTATAATTCATCTATCCTGTTTACTATTCAATCATTCTTCAAACATTTGTATGGCGATAAGCTTGGCCATGGTTCATGTAAACTCTGATACCACGACTATCCAGGTAACTAAAAACATGAACAGGGGCCTGGGGCCCAGCCTGGAAAAGTGTGGTGTCTCATATCAGTCAGGTTTATTTGCCATCCCATCTGCTACCCCCAGGGGTGCCCCAGGAGGCCAGAAAACCAACCTGCTTGCCTGCAGTCAGACCTAAACTCAGACCCAAGAGCACCTGTGATTAGAACCAGTACAAAGGTGGGTGTAAAATGCCAAATATACATCTAAAATATTTAAGCAGCTAGCCATATCAAGGAGACCAATTGATAACTCCCAGGGGAACAAAAGTAAAGGGACAGGCACATTGCTAATTATAGTTTTGTGTCATCATTTTCCACTTTCTGAAATGTCTACAGTATCACTGACCTGATTTCTTTTAGAGGGGAGGCTTGGTGAAAGGTAAAAGAAACGCTTTCACTGGAAGAAGGGACTGTGAAGAATACAGATTACTCTGAACTAGGGCACATGGGCAGGGAGCAGTGGTCTAGTGAGCAGCCCCTGGGTGAGCTCCTGAAGTGGCTGTTGATAAAAGAACAGGTTTTCATGGGGTAATCTAGACAGCTGGAAGTTCCTCCAGAGCCCTCCCTCTTGGATACCTGCAGGAATTCAAAGGAACCCTACCTGTACAATAAGGCTGCAAATGCACATTATTAGGTGCATGGTCCATGGAATACTTCCGTGGAAATGAATGGTATTCACCTTATGTAAGCGATTATCAAGAAAATCACTGGGGCCAGGAGTGGTGCCTCACGTCTATAATCCCAGCACTTTGGGAGGCCAAGGCAGGTGGATTACCTGAGGTCAGGAGTTCGAGATAGCCTGACCAACATGGTGAAACCCTGACTCCATTCAAAAAACAAAAATTAACTGGCATGGTGGCAGGTGTCTATAATCCCAGCTACTTGGGAGGCTGAGGCAGGAGAGTCGTTTGAACCTGGGAGGCGGAGATTGCAGTGAGCCAAGATCACACTATTGTACCCCATCCTAGGTGACAAGAGTGAAACTCTATCTCAAAGGAAAAGAAAATCACCAGGTTGTGTCTCCCAGGTTGCTGGTTGTCATCTTCTGCCTCCAGATCATAAAGTATATACAGTGTAGCTGCCCACAGACCTCATCCCTCCCCTGCACAGCCTCCAGCTACCACTAAGCCTTCATCTGATTAGTTTGAAGAGCAATAAAGAAAATTAGTGAAATCAGGAGAAAATGATGATCTCGATTTAGCCACAAACCAAGAACAATGCAGCCAGAATTACTGTTGTCTTCCCAAAGTTACGCTGCCAGTGGAATTAAATGCTGGTCCAAAGGTATCACCTTTTTGACAGGATGAGAGATTATTTAAGTCTCCTTGCTAAATCAGTCCAATTTAAAACCACAAATTATGCTCAGTGTGATTTAGGGCTTTGTCTTGTGGATGCAAACAATAACCTCATATTCAATTTACAAAACCTCTCCCAGCCTTTGAGTGAGCATGTGAATTTTTTGTTTAAGACTCCATTCAATTGGGGTGGAGCCCACCGCAGCTCAAGGAGGCCTGCCTTCCTCTGTAGACTCCACCTCTGGGGACAGGGCATAGCTAAACAAAAAGCAGCAGAAACCTCAGCAGAGGTAAATGCCCCTGTCTGACAGCTTTGAAGAGAACAGTAGTTCTCCCAGCATGGAGGCTGAGATCTGAGAACAGACAGACTGCCTGTTCAAGTGGGTCCCTGACCCCTGAGTAGCCTAACTGGGAGACATCCCCCACTAGGTGCAGACTGACACCTCACTCCTCACATGGTTGCATATGCCCCTAAGACAAAGCTTCCAGAGCAAGAATCAGACAGCAACACTCGCTGTTCAGCAATATTCTATCTTCTGCAGCCTCCACTGCTGATACCCAGGCAAACAGGGTCCAGAGTGAACCTTAAGCAAACTCCAACAGACCTGCAGCTGAGGGTCCTGACTGTTAGAAGGAAAACTAACAAACAGAAAGGACACCCACACCAAAACCCCATCAGTACGTCACCATCATCAAAACCAAAGGCAGATAAAACCACAAAGATAGGACAAAGCAGTGCAGAAAAGCTGGAAATTCAAAAAATCAGAGCACAGCTCCCCCTCCAAAGGAACACAGCTCATCGCCAGCAATGGAACAAAGCTGGATGGAGAATGACTTTGACGAGTTGAGAGAAGAAGGCTTCAGTTGATCAAACTTCTCAGAGCTAAAGGAGGAACTGCATACCCAGTGCAAAGAAACTAAAAACCTTGAAAAAAGAATGGATAAATGGATAACTAGAATAATCAATGCAGAGAAGACCTTAAAAGAACTGATAGAGATGAAAACCATGACACAAGAACTACGTGACAAATGCACAAGCTTCAGTAACTGACTCGATCAACTAGAAAAAGAGTATCAGTGATTGAAGATCAAATGAATGAAATGAAGCAAGAAGAGAAGTGTAGAGAAAAAAGAGTAAAAAGAAATGAACAAAGCCTCCAAGAAATATGGGATTATGTGAAAAGACCAAATCTACATCTGATTAGTGTGCCTGAAAGGGACAGGGAAAATGGAACCAAGTTGGAAAACACTCTTCAGGATATAATCCAGGAGAACGTCCCCAACCGAGTAAGGCGGGCCAAACTTCAAATTCAGGAAATACAGAGACTGCCACAAAGATACTCGCCAAGAAGAGCAACTCCAAGACACATAATTGTCAGATTCACCGAAGTTGAAATGAAAGAAAAAATGTTAAGGGCAGCCAGAGAGAAAGGTTGGGTTACCCAGAAAGGGAAGCCCATCAGACTAACAGTGGATCTCTCAACAGAAACTCTCCAAGGCAGAAGAGAGTGGGGGCCAATATTCAACATTCTTAAAGAAAAGAATTTTCAACCCAGAATTTCATATCCAGCCAAACTGAGTTTCATAAGTGAAGGAGAAATAAAATCCTTTACAGATAAGCAAATGCTTAGAGATTTTGTCACCACCAGGCCTGTCCTACAAGAGCTCCTGAAGGAAGCACTAAACATGGAAATGAACAACCAGTACCAGCCACTGCAAAAACATGCCAAAATGTAAAGTCCATCAATGCTAGGAAGAAACTGCATCAACTAACGAGCAAAATAATCAGCTAATGTCATAATGACAGGATCAAGTTCACACGTAACAATATTAACCTTAAATGTAAATGGACTAAATGGTCCAATTAAAAGACACAGACTGGCAAATTGGATAAAGAGTCTAGACCCATCAGTTTGCTGTATTCAGGAGACCCATCTCACATGCAGAGACACACATAGGCTCAAAATAAAGGGATGGAGGAAGATCTACCAAACAAATGGAAAACAAAAAAAGGCAGGGGTTGCATCCTAGTCTCTGATAAAACAGACTTTAAACCATCAAAGATTAAAAGAGACAAAGAAGGTCATTACATAATGGTAAAGGGATCAATTCATCAGGAAGAGCTAACTATCCTAAATATATATGCAGCCAATATAGGAGCACCCAGATTCATAAAGCAAGTCTTTAGAGACTTACAAAGAGACTTAGACTCCCATACAATAATAATGGGAAACTTTAACACCCCACTGTCAACATTAGACAGATCAACGAGACAGAAAGTTAACAAGGATATCCAGGAATTGAACTCAACTCTGCACCAAGCGGACCTAATAGACATCTACAGAACTCTCCACCCCAAATCAACAGAATATACATTCTTCTCAGCACCACATCGCACTTATTCCAAAATTGACCACATAGTTGGAAGTAAAACACTCCTCAGCAAATGTCAAAGAACAGAAATTATAACAAACTGTCTCTCAGACCACAGTGCAATCAAACTAGAACTCAGGACTAAGAAACTCAATCAAAACCGCTCAACTACATGGAAACTGAATAACCTGCTCCTGAATGACTACTGGGTACATAATAAAATGAAGGCAGAAATAAACATGTTCTTTGAAACCAATGAGAACAAAGATACAACATACCAGAATCTCTGGGACACACTTAAAGAAGTGTGTAGAGGGAAATTTATAGCACTAAATGCCCACAAGAGAAAGCAGGAAAGATCTAAAATTGACACTCTAACATCACAATTAAAAGAACTAGAGAAGCAGGAGCAAACACATTCAAAAGCTAGCAGAAGGCAAGAAATAACTAAGATCAGAGCAGAACTGAAGGAGATAGAGACACAAAAAACCCTCCAAAAAATCAATGAATCCAGGAGCTGTTTTTTTCAAAAGATACACAAAATTGATAGACAGCTAGCAAGACTAATAAAGAAGAAAAGAAAGAAGAATCAAATAGATGCAATAGAAAATGATAAAGGGGATATCACCACTGACCCCACAGAAATACAAACTACCATTAGATAATACGATAAACACCTCTACGCAAATAAACTAGAAAACCTAGAAGAAATGGATAATTTCCTGGACACTTACACTCTCCCAAGACTAAACCAGGAAGAAATTGAATCCCTGAATAGACCAATAGCAGGCTCTGAAATTGAGGCAATAATTAATAGCCTACCAACCAAAAAAAGTCCAGAACCAGACGGATTCACAGCTGAATTCTACCAGAGGTACAAGGAGGAGCTGGTACCATTCCTTCTGAAACTATTCCAATCAATAGAAAAAGAGGGAATCCTCCCTAACTCATTTTATGAGGCCAACATCATCCTGATACCAAAGCCTGATAGAGACACAACAAAAAGAAAAGAGAATTTTAGACCAATATCCCTGATGAACATCGATACAAAAATCCTCAATAAAATACTGGCAAACTGTATCCAGCAGCACATCAAAAAGCTTACCCACCATGATCAAGCGGGGTTCATCCCTGGGATGCAAGGCTGGTTCAACATACACAAATCAATAAATGTAATCCAGCATGTAAACAGAACCAAAGACAAAACCACATGATTATCTCAATAGATGCAGAAAAGGCCCTTGACAAAATTCAACAGCCCTTCGTGTTAAAAACTCTCAATAAATTCGGTATTGATGGAACATATCTCAAAATAATAAGAGCTATTTATGACAAACCCACAGCCAATATCATACTGAATGGGCAAAAACTGGAAGAATTCCCTTTGAAAACTGGCACAAGACAGGGATGCCCTCTCTCACCACTCCTATTCAACATAGTGTTGGAAGTTCTGGCTAGGGCAATTAGGCAAGAGAAAGAAATAAAGCGTATTCAGTTAGGAAAAGAAGAAGTCAAATTGCCCCTGTTTGTGGATGACGTGATTGTATATTTAGAAAACCCCATCATCTCAGCCCAAAATCTCCTTAAGCTGATAAGCAGCTTCAGCAAAGTCTCAGGATACAAAATCAATGTGCAAAAATCACAAGCATTCTTATACACCAGTAACAGACAAACAGAGAGCCAAATCATGAGTGAACTCCCATTCACAATAGCTTCAAAGACAATAAAATACCTAGGAATACAACTTACAAGGGTTGTAAAGGACCTCTTCAGGGAGAACTACAAACCATTGCTCAGTGAAATAAAAGAGGACACAAACAAATGGAAGAATATACCATGCTCATGGATAGGAGGAATCAATATCATGAAAATGGCCATATTGCCCAAGGTAATTTATAGATTCAAAGACATCCCCATTAATCTACCAATGAGTTTCTTCACAGAATTGGAAAAAACTGCTTTAAAGTTCATATGGAACCAAAAAAGACCCCGCATTGCCAAACAATCCTAAGTCAAAAGAACAAAGCTGGAAGCATCACGCTACCTGACTTTGAACTATACTACAAGGCTACAGTAACCAAAACAGCATGATACTGGTACCAAAACAGAGATATAGACCT